GGGGATTATATAATAGTATTGCATCAGTGTTAAATTTCCTGATTTTGGTAACTGTTCTGTGGCCATGTAAGGGAATATCCTTGTTTTTAGGAAAAACACATGAAGTGTTTAAGGGATGACCTGTCATGATGTGTACAACTTACTCTCAAAATAGAGAAAGAGAGAGACAATGATAAAGTAAATGTGGCAAAATGTTAACAATTAGTGGAGCTGGGTAAAGAGTATGTGGAAATTTTTTGTGTTATTTTCAACTCTTCTGTAAGTTTGAAATGATTTCAAACCAGGTAGCAAATAGAGAATAAGTGTAGTTTAAAAAGCTACATAGAAATGCATATTATAATAAATTTCTATTATTTTATCTTGGAATTATATAACACGTTGGGATATTTGATGTATCTCCAGATAGACAGATAGATGCTGGGGAAAGGCTTAAAGGAAATACACTTCAACTTAAATAATGATGATGTCCAGGTGTTAGATTCTAAGTTATGCTTATTTTTTTGTGCTAAATTCTTGATGTCGAGTGTGCCCTATGCCTGTGATTGGGGGAGGTGACTGTCATCAGGCATGCGTGTCCCTCACCTGTGTGGGAGTAGTGGTACAGCTCCGTGTAGGGCTCGATGTGCACCGAGGAGCCAAAGGGGATCTGTGGCACGCGGCCCTCCAGCTCTGTGTCGATGGTCAGGTGCCCGTGCTCGTCAATGCCGCTGAACTGCTGCTTGATGACCAGCTTGCCCGGGTGCCCCACGAAGGTCACCTCGGCCTGGCGGGTAAACTCACCCCCTGCAAAGCAAGATGGGCCTGTCACCTGGCCATCTGGCAAGCACGCCCTCTGCACACAGCATGGGGCTGGGAAGCCAGGGCGGGTGCAGGTGCAAACCTCCCCTGCAGGTGATTCAGTTTGGTTAGTAGGACATGGGGCTAGTGACGCTGGAGACAGAGCTTGGATATCCATGCAGCCCGACCAAGCCACACACAGAGGAGAGAAGTTGCTTTTCAGCTGCAAACCAGCACCTGAGATGGGTTGGCTCAGGGGTCGTGCTGGAAAAGCAAAGAACCAGATGGGCCTCCTGCTNCTGAGATGGGTTGGCTCAGGGGTCGTGCTGGAAAAGCAAAGAACCAGATGGGCCTCCTGCTGTGTGATCTTGAATAAATTGCTTATCGCCTCTGAGCCTCCGTTTCCTGATGATATGAAAGGGATACAATCTATCTTGTGGAAACTAGATGAAATAAAGTATGTCAGGGCCAGCCAGGCAGCTCAGTTAGAGTGCAGCCTTGGAACACCAAGGTCACAGGTTGGAATCCCCGTATTGGCCAAACAGAAAAAAGTGTTGTGCAAATTGCCAAGTGTTCCACCATGCCTCCATGACGCCATCTGTGATGATGATGACTAAAATATTGTCTAGTCCTGGTCAGGATGAGTGAATTCTTAAAAGCCAATTATCACCAATACCAGAAACCACCCTGGGACCACGTGCTATGGTGCTGGCTCAGAACTTCCCCGGTCTGTTCAAGGCAGCAACCCAGACAGACAGGAAAATACTCCCTCCTGTTCAATTTTTCTCCCACTACTGCAGGGTCTGGCAAACTATGTCTCCAGGACTAAATCTGGTTGGCTGCCAATTTTTGTACAGCCCTTGAGCTAAGAATGGCCTTTACATTTTTTTTTTTTTTTGTCTTTTTTTCTGTGTCTGGCAACGGATCGCAACCCTCAGTGTTGCCCCCGTACCG